TTTTCAAGTGACTCAGTACTGACTACGTTCATCTTGGGGCTTCTTATCCTGAGTTTTACATGAGTAATATTTTTTAGGGGGCTTAATATTACTTGAAGCTTGAATTCACTCATGTGATCAGGAACTTCAACTGTATACAGAACTACAAGAGGTGATTCAGAATTAAGTTGAAGTTCAAGTGAGGCAACACCAAGCAAATTTTGAACCACAACTGCCACATTCCTGGCTGCGCTTCTGAAAGTTTTCCATGAGTTGGCTCATGTGAAGGGAAAGAAGCACGATGGTGGACAAACCCTGTTCCTGCAATTACAATTAGAATACACTCATTTCTTTGGTCAGCTTATTGTTCAAATAAGGTTCACTCTACCATGGTTCTAACAAAATTTCTTGGAATGAAAATGAAGATGGCGTCTAATCAAGCTGGAAAAAAATTATTTTTTAGGGCAACCATATTCTTTGGCACAAAAAAAAATCAGCCCAGTTTGACAATTTTTTTCAATTTTTTGCAAAATTTACCCTGGCAGAGTTTTCCTATACACTCAACAGATTAGGCACCCCTTCCTGCAGTTTATTATTTTTTTGTGGCCCAGTTTTCCCCTCTAAGGCATCTAAGGCAATTCTGCCATTTTCATCAACAGCCGCCACTTTCCAGCTGGAAAAAAGTGGCCGCCACTTTGGCAGCTGTGAAGGTGGCTGTCGATGAAAATGGCGGAATTGCCTTAGATGACCTGGAGGCAACCCTTAGAGAGAATGCCAAGTTGATTTCAAGCATTGTGAGGGGAAAACTGGGCCACAAAAAAAATAAACTGCAGGAAGGGTGCCTCATCTGTTGAGAGTATAGCAAAACTCTGCCAGGGTAAATTTTGCAAAAAATTGTCAAACTGGGCTGATTTTTTTTTGTGCCAAAGAATATGGTTGCCCTAAAGAACAATTTTTTTTCCAGCTTGATTAGACGCCATCTTCATTTTCATTCCGAGAACTTTTGTTAGAACCCTAGTATGCGACAGATCCCGGTATCTTCTAATTTTCCTGCAGGTAGGTCTGTGTCATTTTCGTTGGTCAGTAGATGCTTTCTCCTGTAAAAGTAATCGTGTAATTCGGGACAGAACGAAATGATCCGCTTTGTTCGGGCAGAGGCACTTAGTACTGTATTTAGCACAGTGCAGTATTATGAGTTCCATTCTACAGTAAGTTATAGTAACCAGCGCAGGAATTCAATTCGTGCAGATTTGTGGTTCACTACTCCCATGCCGGTGCAATAGGGCTGCGTGCGCCCGTGAGGCGCAACTTGTGTACGATTAGTGAAGGTGAAGCCCGGATTATATAATTTTTTTTTATTACAAGAAACGTGTGCATTAATGTACAATAGTTCGGGTGTCGCACGTGGTTCAGTCATTCAGCGCCTCTTGTTCGTTCTTTCCCGGCTTTGCTTAATGCTAAGCTTTTCGTGAGTTTTGTTCAAGTCTTCTATTGATGAATTTGACGCCTCGTGTTCTAAGTGGACCGGGATCTTCGGAGTCTCAAATAAGTTCTTCACGTGGCAGTTTTATTTTATTTAATGGTTCACGAAGTGCTCTCTTCCTCCCGAAGGTTAGAAAAAAGGTATCTGAACTTCTTCATCATTTCTCCTGAGAACCCGTCGCTTTCTCAATTCGTTGCTAAACCAGCTGGTTGGATGGAATGTGAACTGAAATGCGATTTCGTATCTTACTTTTTCAGGCAAATGTTCATGAATGATCTGAGTGATGAAGCTTTCTGATCTTCATCATGCTCGAGTGGAGTTTACATAGCTGGCTAACGGTTACATTTGTCGCGATCCTCGGTTCATTGACGAGTGCGGTTACGTTGTTCGTTGTGTGGCCGATTCGTAAGCCAACAGTTGAGCGCAAGATATGTTCGAAATACGCGAAGGATGCTGCGATTATTCAGGCGAAAGTTGCAAACGCCCAAGAAGAAGAAGATGACGTTCAGGATGTTTCCGTCCCGATCATCAACCCCAGAGTCGATCCCAGCTTGCACGCCTTGATTGATTTGTTCGTGAGAGACTTCTTCACCTCGTGGTTCTCCAAGCTGGCGGATGATCCAAAACGAGTCGAGAAGCTCTTACGGTGAGTACTGTCTTGTGCACCGATTTATCTTATTGTCTGCTGGTTCAGTTCATTTA